GACATGGCTCTTGGCTTCAGACATAAAAACCTCCACGTTGCAGAAGATGTACTGTGCGAAGATCTGATGGCCATGAATGGTTTCTTTGCGAAATGGAGATTGAAACCGAGTGTGACCAAAACTGAGACTTCTTGCTTCCACCTTAACAACAAGTTGGCGAACACAGAACTGACGTCGAATTTAACGGAACCCGACTAAAACATAACAAGCACTCGAAATACCTGGGTGTCACCTTAGACCGTACACTCTCCTTTAAAAAACATTTAAGCAACGTAGCCGCCAAACTTAAGACAAGAAACAACATAATATCCAAACTGTGTGGCACCAGCTGGGGTGCCTCAGCCGAAACGCTCCGATGTTCCGTTCTTGGCCTTGTTTACTCCTCGGCCGAATACTGCGCTCCTGTCTGGACGAATAGCCCCCACTCAAAACTAGTGGACGTCCAAATCCACAACTCACTTAGAATGATCAGTGGAACCATCAAATCGACACCCACGTATTGGCTCCCCGCGCTCTGCAACATTCCACCAGCCCATCTCCGGCGATCGGAAGCTCTCTGCAGAGAATTTAGAAAAATACAAAACAATCCCCAACTCCAAATCCATGAAGATATCGCTCAACTAGGGCACAGGCTCCGCTCCAGAAAACCTCCAATTCAAACAGCGGCAGCGCTTATATCCAATAACTTCCACCTACAAGACGAATGGGCTCAGATGTAGCAAAATAGCGTTCCTCCAGATATCGGCAACGTTTTCCACGTTAACCAAACTGTTCCAGGTTCTACACTACCGAGAGGAACCTGGTGCTCCCTAAATCGGATCCGTACAGAATGCGGTGTTTGTGCGGACTCTCTGCACAAATGGGGCAAATCAGAAACCAACTGCTGCGACTGTGGAAGGCGACAAACCATCCGCCACCTAGCATACGGGTGCGAAAAAAGACAGAGCCAGTGTACGACAACAGACTTCTTGAGGGCCACTCCATCGGCTGTTGTTTGGATTGAAAACCTAGATATTAAGATTTAACCTTTGTAAACATTAACATTTAAAACTAGACTGAGTTATTGTCATACGATAATAATAATAATAATCAAGCTAGTTTGATAATTAAACAATATTTTACAACAAGCCAAAAAAATGATCGATTTATCCAATAAAAAACTATGCTACTGGGTAAATAACCAATTACTCGATCAATTTTTAAGGTTCCGTACCCAAACGGTAAAAACGGGTACCCTATTACTCATACTCCTCTGTCTGTCCGTCTGTCTCCAGGCTCTATCTCATGAACTGTGATAGCTGGAATAATTTCCGCTATAAAAAACAAATTCTAAAAGATTTTTTTTTGAGAAAAAAAAGTTTCTTTGAAATTGAAATTAAACGCCGTGCCTGAAATAAATATTCTAACGCTTGTTCTTTACAAAACATGTTTGTAAGTCGGTATACGCAGATGCAGATGCTTGTAGACTTTAGAAATACGCAAGCATTTATTTCCAGGACTAAACAATCACGTTATTCTTACTGTCCACAGGGAAGAAATTTGATCGGCAATAATAAAAGAAAAAAATCATCAATTTTTACTCCCCATATGTAAAAACCTTTTTTCGAATCACTGGGAAGGCAAATAGTTTCCCATAATTTCATCAGATTTCAACTTTTCTTCGGGTTTTACTGCAAGCTTGTTTGATAATTAAACAATATTCTGAAAATTTTTACCATTTTTTCAATAAATTTTTCCCTCATCAAAGCATTAACTCATTGTCTACCCGCTGCAGTTGTACCTTAAATTGTAATATCTCCAAATACGGATAAACATAAGCACGAATTACACCACATACAGGACGTTAATATCCGTGTGAAACGATAGCAAAATATGTTTCAATATCCAGCGGCGGAGTCAAATTTTAAGAATGCAGTTTCAACAGTGAATTTAGATGATAAACTATTCGAGCAACGAATAAGTTTATAACCAAAAAAGCAGAGATTTCCTTCACTTTGTAACTTTTTTGCATGCCAGACCACGATAGTAATAGTGATTTATGGCACCACATCTTTCTTTCACATTAAATTCCTATTACTATGGCAGAATTTATATAATTAATTATATTAATTAATATTACATAATTATATATATATATATATATATATATATATATATATATATATATATATATATATATATATATATATATATATATATATATATATATATATATATATATATATTTCAACGGTATACGCAATTCAAAATTGAAATGTACAAACCAATGTCATTAACAAGAATTTCACAATCTCGCCAGCAACCAGCAAAACCGTTCCGACAGGTGAAAGCGAGATCACCAATAAATAAAAAGACAGCATGGTTATAAACGACCAAAACAACTTTATCATATTCACCTTATTTTCCGCTGTTTTGTCAAGCAGATAACCGACGAGCATTTTTATTCTTATATTTGGCGCGTTTTTGTTAGTTTGGTTACTTCACGATGCCCCGTAGATGACACACAAAATGCCCACATCGTAAATCATCCATAGGTTATAATCGAACAGCGATTTCTTAAGCGGAAACAACAAAAGCTCGTTTTGTAAAAGAGAAAGTCGCATTCGCTATTTGAAATTTTGGATTTGCATACACCGCGGTCATGTTGATTAGAAGTTTCGAATGTCAACCTGTGAATCTCGTAATACATTTGTTCGTTTTCAACACATTTCGTCGCTTGATGTTGAGCTCGGGATATCTGTATCTAGTTAATTAATGCAATTATTGGATTTGCCGAATCTCTGAAAACGCGAAAGTCGTCAACAAGGACTAAAAAATTATTTGCCAAAGAAACTTGTTCCAGGTTGTTAGTGCACGTTTTGACACTGCAGGGCCTCGTGCAAGCTAGTAAAAATGAGTGAATATCAAATTGCATTTGAGTATTCTGCAGAAGAAGCTGGTTCCAAACTGTAGTTACTTTAATAATAGGACCCCAGAAGACCAAGTGTATTAAAATGACTATTAATAGATGGTACCGCAGAAACGCGATATCAAAGCAAACCATATTCGCAGAGAGGTGGTGATATTTGTGTTGATTATGTGTGCAAGTGTTTGAGTGAAACAAACTTTGTTATTACCCGAAATCGAACAGAAACCTGCCAATTTTTCACATGCAATTCGTGTCGGAAAATATTGAGAATTTCACAAAGTCGCAAATGGAAGATTGTCACGGTAAAGTGACAAAGTCTGCGGTGTTTCAGTAATATTTAAGGTCATCCATCACGATAATATTTTGGCGTGTTCAGGAACAAAAGTATGGCTTTTATTTCTACGAAGATTAAAATCTTGTGCGCAGTGAAACGAGGCACGCTCAGATCTCGGATCTGTTAAGAACTATAAACGCGTTTACCGGGCGATGGATACTGGACCGCTTAAAAAGTCGCCATGGTCATGGACATTATATATATAATTTTCTTGACGCTAAGATGATGTCTATGTGAATAGTGTCGATCGATTGCAAAAATAGCTGTGCTTTTCCAGTAAGAAATTGCAATGTTTCTAAAGTTTAGGTATTTTGTAATTAACAGTGCCAGGCACAACCCAATTACGGCGAACTTGATCGCTATTCAGTGAATTATTTCAATGTAAAATACAAAAATATGAAAACATTTGATTCCTATCAGTTGATATGTCACATATAGCCTATACTACTGCCACTATCTGAATGCTTTACACAATTTTCAACCAACATAGCGATAGAATGGGTTTCACTCGTGTTGTTATTTGTTAATTAATTGCTAAACAATTGTGTTTTTTCTCCCCAAATAGCCAAATATTCTTATTCACATGATTGCGACGCGTGATTTTCCCAATTCCTGCCCGTTAGCAAAAATCCTACATATTTTCCGAACGGAACGCAAAGAAAAGTCCATTCCAGGTGTTTTGTGGGGCATTTTGAACGATCCAGTGAATTAATCCGTTTAGTCGAATTAACAGAGCAAAATGTCAAGGCATTGCTTGCTTATAATGTCGACAAAAGTGGAAATAAAAGCAGTCGTTATCGCGACTAAAGACGGCAAGTTTTACTTTAATTAAACCCATTAGTTGGCCTATTCCACATCATTTAGGCGCCAATTATTTAAAGAGGGTGGACGTGGTGTTTAATATCGAAAATTTACACAATTTAAATATATTAAAATACTTTATTTATTTTTTAAATTAAATTATGACCCTATATGATTTTTGCAGTTACGCCGTCACGGCTAAGAGGAGAGTTTTAAAGAATTTAAAAATTTTATTAAAAATAGGATTTACCATTAGATAATTTTATGTTCTTCATACTTATTATCAAATAGATATTTGTTTACAAGTATACCAGCATAGTATAGACTGCGCAGGAGAATTTTATATTATGTACATCTAAAGTAACGTAAGGGATGTTCCATTTAAAATAAGTTGACACCTAATTCCGACACAACTGTGATGGTGAAAATAATTGATCTCGATCACATCTATTGATATTTTAGAGCACAAAATTTTATAATAGTTTTCGCAAAATATATTAAAATATTTCCTACGGCACACCTGGTACATTAATACGAGCAATATGGTGCTTGTGTAAATAACCAGGACCGAAAGTTCCTATCCATCAATTTTGAAAAGTAGTTTACTAATTTACAAATAAGTGATTTTAAATATGCATTATTCCCGTTTTAAACGCATTCCCTGTCTAAATTATTTAAATTCTTGCCAATTAAAAAGTATAAATTTTTTCTGAGCTGTAAGTACGTACACGTATATGTTAAGATATTCTAAGATTCTAGATTCCACACTGGCATGCAATCAATAAAACATTGAAAATATCCACTATCGTGAAGGGAAACTCCGCACAATTTCATTCAAACATACTTATTTCATGCTCCATTAGTATAAAATAACTCCAAATAACCTCTATTGACATTTATACCCTATATATTATAATAGATGGTATACGATGAGATGTTTGGTTAACTATTACCTACCTCAAAAATTAACAAATCAGTTTTTCCTCATCTAAAATACCAAATTTGACTCATAACGCCTAATACCCATTCACATAACCAATAATATCACAATGTCACAAATATCTTGTACAAAATTCGACGGCGACACACACCAAACAACTAACGTTAACAACGTTCAAACTCGCGATCGACTACAAAATATCACGGGTACTTCGACGGAGAAACCAAGCGATTGTCTGCCGTTTTAAGTGCGGACTGGCTGAGCTCAAGTCGATCACGAATTCTTAGCGCACCGCAGTCACCCAGGGCCTCCTATAATTTAAACAGAGACGCGAGCGTGGCAATGCTTGAACTGGGACTAATTTATGTCTACTTTTGTGTTGAACAGTTTTGGTTAATTGTACTCATTTGTTTCAAGTTGAGGGACGATTCTGTCCTTGGAATGGTCCTCTTTAAATAAAATTTGCCCCAGAAGAATTACAGGGAGTACATGAGCCATTTAATAAAACTAACCAAAACTATTTTTAGATATACTATTTTTGGTTAATTTTTTCAAGGTATTATTACTTTTTTTCCACGCGCCACTGGCTAAGACATACTTCGTTTTGAATGTTAAATGTTAGGTTCGAGTACTCCCTCAATTATTTATCAAAAAAACTGATTTCAAATTGATAATATTGTTAAACCGTTATTGCTCATCTCACGTAATCCAACATTCCATATCTGTAAAGTACTGTAGTGTTAATGATTTTATATGAACATGACATGCTTCCTTTAAATGATACCCCCTAATTTTAGAAAATAGTTTTGGTGAGCTGCTAACAAATAAATAGCGATTCCCGCCTAGTTTTGGCATTAACACTGTTTTAATTAAAGTATACAGTTAGGATAATGTAGATAAATAAAAGTTTCAGGAGCTCTTAATTTCTCTTCATTTCAATATTCCCAGAATCTTCTCCCTTTTCGGACCCCCTAAATTCGAACCAAATTATAAAAGTACGCTTATAACTTCCCTTACTTTGCTCACAAAGAACGCCCGAATTTGATAATTAGAAATTTTTTGTGAAGGATGATTGATTTTCGACAAGCAATTTATTAATTTGACAACTCCGAAAATAGAAATTCATTTAAAAATAATATGATTCTATTTAAAAGTATATATAATGGTTCAAAAAATGCCTATTAAAAAATATAACTTTTCGAGTTGTAAAATTGGTCGTCCATCATAATTTTTTCCATCATATGTTTTGCTGTTAATGGACAATATACCGGGTGGATCAAAAAGTAAAAGTAAAATTCCAATTTTTTTTTATTTTGAAATTGTTATAGCAGAAGCGAAAGTAGAAATGAAGTAATTTTAAAGAACTTGTAAATATCATTCTTCAGTAAGATTTTGATCGAACAAATAAGGCAAAATAATTTTTTTTATTCAAAATTCGTGCCCAAACATTTATTTTCGTGGATGTCGTGTGTGATTTTCTCTACTCCATCCAGGATTATTTCTACTCCAATATCTAAAATTTAAACAAGATATTGCTTCATTACTGTATCTGACGATGAAAAAAATGTATTTCAGTAGCACATTAAAATTTTAAATTAAATTTAAAATTATTATTTGAAGCTACTTCAGCAAATGCACGATGGGGATTGTCCTCAAGTTCTAATAAAATGTTTAACCTTGTGTTCTCATTAGTTCTGGCCGTAAGCGATTTTTTACATGCCGTATTTCTATAAATTGTCTCTCAATTTTACTCACAATAGATCTTGCTGTGGGTTTTTCTGTATATTTTGCGTTAAACCATTTTCAAGCTTCTTCTAGAGTTCTCGTTTTGACTCCATATCCGATAAAAATTAAAATGTATTCACTATGCTTGAAATTGGACAATATAATTCTGAAATGGATTTAAAAAAATGGCGTTTATTTTGTGTGTGTGAGTTTTTGCTATGGAAATCCAATACCTGACTTTTAAATGAATTTGTTCCATATTTTAGCCTTTCACTGTATAATTATATATGATAATATAGAAATAATATAAACGAAGATGGTGTAGGTTTTGAGAAACACGGGAATGGGTGATAACGACCTGAGAATTATCTGGAACCTTTACTAGGATCGGTAAACCCATATATCTGTACTCAGTGGAAATATTCAGTGAAGCTCTGGAATCCTAAATAGGGAACGTTTGAACAACATATAGCATGAACAGCTAACAAGAAGTAATCAATAAAATAACAGACATCGCTTAGAAATCAACATTAGTAAAACCAAATTCATCGTAATTCGTAAATAAGTACGTGCGATTTGATTAATAATACACATATTGAAAGGGTTTCACAGTTCACTCGCCGGAAATTAGAATTGAAACAGAGAAAGCAAGGCAATGAATACATTATTTAAAAGTTAAAGTCTCAACTTAGATCAAAATCTGCCTCCTTAGATGCTACATTTTCTCTATAGTTTTCTATGGAATAGGACACTGACCGAGGCAATCGAAAGAAGACTAGAGGCCTTCTAAATGGGTGGACAGGGTAACTAACAAAAAGTACTGGAGCGAATGCAAAAGCATTTAGATATAATAAACGCCATCAAGACAAGAAAACTGAAATACCTCGCATATATTATGAGGAACGAAAGTAAATCTGTTCTCAAAGGAAAAGTCTATGGTAAAAAAGGAGCACGAAGAAGAATATCATGGCTCAAAAACTTAAGAACATGGTTCTCAAAAACAACAAACCAATTATTTAGAGCAGGCGTGAGCAGTCGTTATAGCTACGTTGATCGCCAATATTCGGAACGAATAGGCACCTGAAGAAGAATATGTAAATATTAAATAAATTGAGAATCTTTAAAATTTCGGTATAAACCACACAATACAAACGAAACATTAAACCGGAACAAACAAATTCACAAACCACAAGAGGTAGAACTCGCTATTTTGTCGGAGTTGTGGTAATAAGAGGTGTTTTTTTTCGATGTATAGAACTTTAAGTTGCAAACAACGATGGATTATTCGATTGACATGAATTTTATTTATCCGAAAGACAATCTTGTGGCATTACATTTTAAATATGATTTCTGGCATATGACCGCCACGGCTGGCGCGGATGTCCAATTTTCGATGACTTTCCAACATTTGTGGCCGTATATCGGTAATAACAGGGCGAATGTTGTCTTCCAAATGGTCAAGCCTTTGTGGCTTATCCGCATAAACCAATGACTTTACATAGCCCCACAGAAGATGTTGGAGGCCAATTCACAGGTCCAAAACGTGAAATTAGGCGGTCACCAAACGTGTCTTTAAATAAATCGATTGTGGCACGAGCTGTGTGACATGTTGCGCCGTCTTGTTGAAACCACATCTCCTGGACATCATGGTTATTCAATTCAGGAATGAAAGAGTTAGTAATCATAGCTCTATACCGATCACCATTGACTGTAACGTTCTGGCCATCATCGTTTTTGAAGAAGTACGGACCAATGGTTCCACCAGACCATAAAGCGCACTAAACAGTCAGTTTTTCTGGATGGAACGGTATTTCGATATACACTTGAGGATTAGCTTCGCTCCAAATGCGGCAGTTTTGTTTGTTGACGTAGCCGTTCAACCAGAAGTGCGCTTCATCCCTAGCTTATGAAAATCGGGAACAACGGCAATCTCGTTTTAGACCCATTCGACGAATCTACGCCTTACTTGATGATCGTTTGGCTTCAATTCTTGCACGAGTTGGATTTTGTAAGCACGTAAACCAAGATCCTTCCGCAAAATGTTCCATAAAGTGGATGGACACAGATCTAATTCCTGTGCTCGATGGCGGATGGACTCATTCGGGTCTTCCTCAATGCTACGCTCTACAGCAGCAATAGCTTCTTCTGTACGCACCGTACGGCGTCTCTGGGGATGCGAGTTATCAATAAGAGTAAACGCGGTGCGAAAACGTTCCATGGTTAGTCGAATTAACTGCTCTGATGGACGATTTTGTCGACGATAAAATGGATGTAGTGTGCGATATATATTATTTTCGAAATAAAATTGCACTATTTGCAATTTTTATTGCAAAATTTATTGAATTGCCAAACCAAACTAAGAATAAATCACTTGACAGCTGTTAAATCGGTCGCCATCTTGAACAGTAATGCCAACTTAAAGTTCTATACATCGAAAAAAAACACCCATTATATGAATGTATATGGATACGCTCGTATACTTAGGCCAACTTACGTATAGAATATTCGGTAAAATGTTTCCTTTCTTTGTGCAAATTCCATATTTCGAGCGGGTCTGTTTGATATTGGAAGGAACTTGCTTATATTGGCTTTATGTATGCTGAATTTCGTATTAGTAAAAACGACTAAAATATTCTGTTTGGGGGGTTTTATATGGAACGTTTAGTAACAGCAAATTAGATATCAACTTATATATCAATGTAAGGTATGCGTACAAAATTGATTAATTACGGAGCAGTATAGAATCGATTGAGGCTAATTGATAGCTACGCAAGGGACCAAAATATTTTTTCTCGAGTGTTTTACAAATCCAAACGGGGCCAACAACGCCGCCTGACGGCCTTCGGAATTTTAACGACTTTGAGAGTGAAAACGCCAATCCGTGGATTAATTAAGAACTTGAAATTTGTACAGTTGCCACAAATTGTTCTGGTGAACAATTCAAAAATTATGGAAAATCTTAGTTAAACAAATTCTAAAATTTGCTCTTGTACTAATGATCATCCCCAATCGGCTAAAATATTTTTATTACGGGAGTGGCAATGCTACCGGAAGCAGGTGTTGATTTAAAACATGTCCAAATCGGTTTCTAAATTCCCCGACTTTTCCAGGTTTTCCAGGTTAATGGGAACCCTACAGCGAAATTGACACCAGTATCAAATGCCTTGTTTAGCATTAAAAACTAGGTTAAATTTGTATAACGTTTTGCCTATGTTAATAATTATCGATTGTTAAGCAATTGTAAGTTAAGTGCGGAAGTATAATTTCAACTTCGCCTTTTGCGATATGTTCTTGTAATGTCTTTACAATAAGGTCATATTATTATTATATTGTTATGAATTATGTGAAACGGATTTTCGCAAAATGGTGCAAACATTTTGACTCGGCCTTGACTTTTACGATACGTGTAAATCGATTGATTACAGTTTTCATCAAAACCGCACGTGCCTCGACTTAAATAAATATAGACCAAGAAAGTGTTACTTTTGGAAATATTTTCTAAAATAACATCCAATCGGAAGGATAAATTTTTCGAATTTTGTGAAATTTCTGATGAGTTTGATGATTGTGCCAAATTG